TGTTTCTGTATCTGTCTCCTTATCTAAACAAAGACCTCCTTTAGAGCAAAGTACAAAAGTAATTTTTAAATCTTTGTGTTCAGAGGTCCTAACACAGTGCCTGGCACACCAGTGACACTCTATACATGCCCTTGATTGCTTGGATTGCGGGACTACTGCCAAGCAGGAAGGCTCTCTCTTCTGCGGGCTCCCTTCTTTGTTGACTCCTGCCCTCCCCTCAGTAAGCTAACGTTCCTGCAGGTCCCAAGCACCTACAGGGTGCAGGCTTTGGGCACAGCTCTAGAAATGCAGAGCTAAGGAGAGTGAAGCCTCAACCTTCAAAGAGCTCACCACCTGGGACCTGGCTTCCTGACACAGGCCCCAGGCCCACAAGTGGATTTGGGAAGCCAAACAGACCTGGGTTCAAATCCCAGCTTCATCATCTGCGTGACCTTGGGAAAAGTTACTTCTGTGTACAAGGTCTCAGCTTTCTACTTGGTTAAAGGGAGAACAGTAGATAACTTACTGGGTTGTTGTGAAGGCAGCATGAGGCAGTAAATATAAATATGTCAAGCAGGGGCTGGCCACATGGTTGGTGCCCAAAGATTGTTGAGTAAATGATGGAATTTAGGAATGAGTAGTGAATGTACTAGGGCAGTGGGTGGGGGTGATGTGGGGAAAGCTAGCACTGGGTGGGGCAGGGGCTGCCTGTGGGACTGTGGCAGGCCTTCCCTGCTTCCCTGTTGTCACAGTAACTGCTGTCAGCAAATGTCTCCCAGACAGGAATCCCCTTCAGGGCTCCCTTCCCCAGCCCACTGCATTTGTTGACTCAAAACCTCTCTACTGCCAATTTAGCCTGCAGTAAGGAAGGAGGGGGAGGGGGAGAGGTGTGGGAGGGGGTGGAACCGTACAGAAAGGGGTCTTTGTCTGAGCACTCTGTGGCATTTCAGATTTCAGGGAGGTTTTGTTTTTTTTTTAAACCTCCTAAAGAGTTGAGTGGGCCGTACTTGCAAAGGGAGGTATCTGAATTAGACAGCAGGGAGGACTTCCAGTGGGGTCTCTTTGTGGGGTGGTGGAACAATGAAATGATTTTCAAAGGCCCTGGGGAGTCTCCCAGGGGCTTAGGCACAGATGTAGGGCACCATCCCAGGGAGGGGCTCCCAAGGGCTTGGCCCTGTGGTTCCCTCGCAGCTCCTCTCCCTGCTGAGCTGAGAGGCTCAGGAAGCTCCCCTGCACCCAGTAGTGGCAGGGCCATCCCCATTCTAGGCTTGGCGTGGGCCTCTCACCACCTGCCATTCTCTGGTCCAGGTGGTATCCTGGGGCTCCTGGTGGCGGGTTGTGGGGGGGCGGCTGGAGATGCTGACTCGTAGAGCCCTTCCACCCAGCCGACTTTCAGGCCTGCCCTCCGTCCCCAGCTCACAGCCAGGGAGAAGAGCCCAGCAGAGAGGCCCTGGCCTCCTGCCGCCCCACCCCAGGTGTGCCTGTCCCCTCCAAGCAGCAGGCCTGGGCCTTCTCCTCCCCTTGATGCCTTGCCTGTCTCTTTAGGTGGTTTCCTGGCTTCCTCCATGCATGTGTTCATTGCCCTTCTCTCAGGCATCCCATCCCCCTAGGTCTGTGGGTCTGTCCATCCCTCTCTCTCCTGACATCTGCCTCTCTCCTCTCTGCCTCTTCCTGTCCTCTCTGCTCCCTTCCTTTTTGTCTTCAATTTGTCTGTCTTTGACTTTTCCTTTCTATGAGTCCATTTTTACCTTCTTCTGTGTCTCTAAGTCTCTCTCGGTCTGTTTCTGAATCCGTCAGTCTCTTCTGGTGTCTGTGTCTTGATCTCCTCCTCTCTTTCTCTGTCCTTCTCGCTATCACGGTGACCCTGTCTGTCTCACTCACTGGCCCTGCCTGGGCCTCGCAGTCTCTATCTCTGGTTCTCTCCTTGTTGGTCTCTCTGCCTCTCCTGCTCTAAGCCTCTCTCCCCTGGACACTCAGCCTGCCAGTGTCAGAGCAGAGCTTGCCTGTGGTCCCAACTCTAATTCATCGCTGGGGACAGGCTTTGCCAACAGCTGCCAGGAGATTGCAGGCCTCGTGTCCCCAGCCCTGCTCCTGTGCCAGAGGCCCAGGGGGCTGCAGCCAGTGTTCACCCAGCACCTGCTGAGACTCCTTTCCTTCCTCCCCTCCTTCCCTCCCAGACGCAAACTCAGTGCCCCACCCGACTCCCTGAGGTCCATGAGCCCTGGCTGTGAGCCCAGCACCACTGGAGCTCCTGGAGGGGCAGGAGGGGGGCATTCTGGGCAGAACTCCGCCCCACACCCTTCAGGAGCTCACAGGCCAGCTGGGTGACCCCACACACGCATATAGAAAGCAGTATGGACAACACAGGACAGAAGAATCTGGGGCCCAGTGTGGACCACAGAATGGAAAATCCCAAAGGAAGGGAAGGAGATCAGACAGAGAAGTTAGGCTCGAGATGGATGGGACTGAGCGGAATGGAGAGAGCAGGAGAGGACATTCAGATAAGAGGACCTGAACTGGCAAAGGCTTGGAGAGAGGAGTAATTAAGAGACCTTGAGGAACAATTGGTTTAAGGGCTAGAATTAAGGTTTGTGTAAGCGCTTGAGAACAGAGAAGATTAAAGCTAGCCATGCAAGGGTAAGTGAGGTGAGGCAGAAGTTTTTGCAAGGGACTGTGACATCTGAATTGGATTTAATTCACCCAAGGTGAAGATGAAGGGAAAGACTCTGCAGACTCAGGAACCAGCATGTTCCAAGGCAGAAGGCACAGAAAGACCTGCCGTGCTGGGGAGGCACTGGCTTCATGTGGTGCGGAGCAAGTACGTGGGACAGGGACAGGGCGAGAAGCCTGTGCACCCCCTCAGGGCTCTCACGTCTATCCGCTGGCAGCCAGGGAAGGGCTCTGAGCAGGAGCGTGGCATCATTGGGGTTTATTGATTTTACTTTTTAATAAATCACTGGCAGCTGTTTGCAGGATGGACTGGCAGGAGGGGAGACTGAAGGTGAGGGGACCAGCTAAGAGCTACTGCACTGGTCCTGGCAAGAGTGAAGGACTGGTGGCCAGGACTGACCGGGGTGGTTGGGGTGGGGAGGCACAATCCATGATGGCAGGTTCGAAGCCCAACCAAAAAAAGGGAAGAGGTGCAATGTCTGAGGTTTCCAACTTAGGGAACACAAGGGAACAGGAGACTTTTAGAGGAAAAGACCAAGCACTTGGCGTTTGAGGTGTCTGTGGGACTTCCTGGGGGTAGGACTCCCTCCCCTCCAACTTGGGGCAGGTGTGGAGGCCTAGGGAGGGCCCGGTGGCAAACAGAGGTCTGGGGGGGTGGCAGTCCCTGGGGCTGAGCAGCTGAGCTGGGTCTAATCTCTTTATGGCTGGTTCCAGCCCGAAGCAAGAAAGGGATAAGAAATGGCCTAGGAAAGACACTGCCTGGTACCCTCTCCTGAGTTCTGCTTCCTTGATGTCTTCTCATCCACACCCCATGACGTGCCAGCACCCTACACACACACACACACACACACACAACTGGATCAGCAATGGCGCCAAATGTTTCAGGCCAACCAACAAGTATTTTCAAATGCAAATTCCCTCGCTTCCATCAGGTCCCCCACACAACTGCTCTCTGAGCAGCTGGAGGCAGAGTTGGTGGTGGGGGGGGCAGCAAAAATAAATCCCATTTTCTGCTCCTTTTCAGTGCTGGGCTGCAACCCCCTACTGCCTCCCCTCCCTCTCCACAGATGGGGGATTAGCCCTGCCTCAGGTTTGGCTCTGTCTCGTGGGGAGGGTGATGGGGAGGGCAAGGACGGAGTTGGAGACGGGGTGGAAGCGTCCAGTGACAGGGCTAAGAATAACAGCTTCCATCAGGCCTGACACCCTCTCCCACTTGCCATCGCTCAAGTTGTTCCGTGTGTGCGGGAGACAGACAGATACAGGGTGTCTGCATGGAGCCATGTGTATTTGTGTGTGAGACAAAGACCCAAGGCAGGGTGGGGGTAGGGGGGAGGCTGACAGGCAAATGGCGTGGATGTGACTGGTAGAGGCTGGAGAGAGAGCAGCCCTGTGTGACAGTGAGACAGCGAGGGAGGGAGACGAGAGCTTTGGAGACACAGCGCATGCTCTGTGTGCTTGAGTGAGTGTGTGTGTGTGTGTGTATGAGAGAGAGAGGCTGTAGGAGGCTTACTGTTGTGAGCGAGGCTGCAGATGTGTGAGAGAGGCCCAGACAGGCAGGGGTAGGCTGGGTCTGAGTGCGCGGTCATCACCAGAGCTTTCGTGAGTGGCCAAGGTGGGGGCTGCAGGGGAGGGCCTGGCAGGAGGCCTCGCTCTGCCTGGGGCCATGAGGCCTTCTCCTGTCAGAGGGGCAACTGAGGAGGGAACATATGGGCACACGGTGCGTGTGAGGGTGTGGAGGCTGTGTGTTGCACGTAAGGGTGTGTCTTAGATGTGTTAGTGACTGTGTGACCATGTGTCTGTGTATAAGGGTGTGTGCTAGAAAATGTGTCTCTGTGTGAAGGTGTGTATGAATCTACTTCAGGGTGTATGTGTGGTCTGTCTGAGTCCGTGAATGAATGTGTGTCTGTGGGAGGGTTCACGTGTGGGCACATGGATGTGTGTGTCCGTGTGTATGAATGTGTTTGCCTGTGTGTGAGTCTGTGTGTGGTGTGTGTGTAGACAGATGATGGACACTCAGGCCCTCAGCCTGCCCTGCTGCCCTTGCTGCCTCCAGCCCCCAGCAGATGTTGAGGGAATCGTGCATGTCAGTCTTAAATCTGTCTCCAAATTTCCATGAAGAGTGAACCAAAGCTTGGGGCAGGGAGCACGCCTTCCTAGAGGGAGCAGAAAGAACTGGCATCAGTGTCTGCCTGACCACAGCGAACGTACCCACCCACCTCCAGCCCAGTCGTCAGCTGGCAGGGTCGCAATGCCTCAGTTTACTGAAAGCACGTGTTGGGGGAGGGGACACACAATTTGAATTTCTGTATGTAAATCACAGATGCCATGGGAGGTGCTCAGAACAGACTTACGGTGCCTTCTTGCTCAAGCTGGCGCTCCGTATGGCATGTGGCACCCTGGCCCCGTCAAGGCAGCTGTCTGGGAGGACGGCTTCTTTCCCGGACTTGCGCCATCTGGGCCCCAGGCCCTGACTTCAACAGCTGGGAGGGTCCACCTCGCACAGGTATCCATCCATCCACATCACCTAGAGGGGTTCTTTAAATCAGGACTTTATGAAGCCAACTAAATGGTTCGTTGAGAATGACTAAACTCAACCTTGGAAAGAAAATCATAAACATTTTACTACCTAGCTAAGCCAAGCGTGATTACATATGGAAACTATGGACGCTACTCAGTGGGATTTTGATATTAATTTCCAATTTCCTCTTCACTGAGGAACTGATGAAAACCCAGGCTCTGTGCTATCCGGGCTAGAATCAACATCCCCGTTCACTGTCCATCCAAACCCTGCTGTTTCTCACTCCCAGCTCCATGTCGCCCTCCCTCCAGTTCCACACCGGCTGCTCCAGAGCTTGCCTTGACCCTCAGTCTCCAAGGCTACACACACTCAGGGTTCATTTAAGTGCAACTTCTGTTGGTGTTGTTAAGGAGAGCTGCTTCGTGGGCCATTCTCTCTGAAAATGCCAGGCCTGCTGTCTCCAGGGAGGACCTCCCTCTGTGGGTGCCCTGCTGATCCTCTGCTCTGCATCTTGTTCCCAGAGCCAAATGTTTGCCCGTTCTGGCCTGTCCTTCCTGCTCCACAGAGGGGTGCCACCTTCTGCCCCAGTGGGATAAAGGGAACTGTATGTTATTCCCTGCTTTGAGCAGGAAGCTGAGAACAGCCTCCATCAGGCAGGAACAAGACACCTCGAGGCTTCCCGTGTTGTACCCTCGCTGTCCCCTCTGGCAGAAGGAGCTGTCATTCCATATGCAATGTCACAGATTCCACTTAACCTCCACGTTGCATGGAACAAGTAGCTTCAAGTGGGAAATAACTCTGGGGAGGGGCCCAGAGCAGGGCCTGGACACACCAGAAATTAACACAACAACGTAAACTGGCTAGACTTCAATTTTTAAAAAATTAAAATTATATTTGATATCTTGTATTAACCTATAATGAAAAAGATTATGAAAACAAATATATATATGTACATGTATGACTGAAACATTATGCTGTACACCAGAAATTGACACTTTAGAAACTGACTATACTTCAATTAAAAAAATTTTTTTTAAAGAGCAGGTCTTAGGGACAGGCACACCTCAGTCTGATGCCGAGCCTAGTCCCTGTGTGACTCTGGGCAAGTTAGTTACTCTCTCAATAAATGGAGTGTACTCATGCATCTCTTGCACTTAGGAGAAACTAAGTGAAATCATGAATTCATATATAAAGGCCCAGGACCTAGTACGCATTCAGTAAACAAAACTTATCGCTATTACCACTCCACCAACCAAGGGGATCTTGAAGAATATCCAAACTTTAGTGTGTATCAGACATCTGAGAAGCTGATTCCCGGGCCCAGGTCCTCTGTCTGACAGGCTTCTAAGTGCCAGGGAAGTTTGTGAAAAAGTCTGTGCATTGCTGGCCTCCCATCCTTCTTGCAGAGCTAGCAAGGCCCCAACGCGTCAGCTCCTGAGGTCACCATCCCAGGTGAGGCCCCGATTGAGTTTGACATCGTCTTTATCCGAGAGCACCCTGACGGGTGCTTTGGTTTTGATTACAGGCAGCCTGGCACCGGGTAGCCGTGGCCTGTTCACCTGAACTGCCGGCACGAGGCGCAGATGCTAATTACACGGGTAAGTACTTGCAGATTTCCCAGGAACAACAAAGATAATTTGTTTGCTGCATGGCTTGTTAGGAGGGAGGCTGGGTTCTGGTGACTGGGTGGCTTGTGGATTAGGCCCGTGGCCTTTCACCTCCTCCTGCCCTTGCCTGCTGGTTCTCCCAGCTGTGCTGATTAGAAGCGGGAGAAATTCAGATCTCCCCCTCACCACCCACCTCAACAGGCTGGAGGAGGTGGGGGGAGGAGAGGGGGATCCAGCTGCGAGGCTAGGCCAGACTGAGGACATCTACAGAGTAGGGGTCTGGGCGGCCCAACCCGACACATGTGGAGACAGGCAGACAAGGAGCAGGAGGCAGGGTGTTTCTCTGCATTTCTCTGCATCTCCCCTGTGGTCACTGACTGCAGTGCCAACACCAGCGGGCTGGCTGAACAGGCAGAGGAGGGATGAGGAGGGGTTATGCCCAAGGGTTGTGGGAGCCAGGGGCATGGAAAGAACTGCAGAGGGACCTTCCTGGGGCCCCCATAAAGAGTGGCAAGAGGGTGGCTGCTGCAGAGAATACCCCTGGTCTTGGCCTTGACTCTTATGGAGCGGGTGGGAGTGACCCTATCCAACTAAGAACAGGTAATTCCAGATCCCTGGGCCTGAAGAGCCTCATGGAAGAGGAAAGTCACCACAAATTAGCCAGAACCCATCTCCCCAAGAGCAATCAAGTGGCCCCATGAGAAGTCGGGCAGCAGGGCTGGAAGAACCACTCTCCTTGCTTCCTTGTGCCTGGGGGGACGAGGAGAATGGGATAATTACTATAATTATTATTAACGTTGGTATCCCTTATACTTTCCTGTGTCTTAATGGGTTTTAGAATATTTAATAGTCACTATTTATCAATGGCCTACTATGTGCCAGACAATGAAATAGGCACTCTGCATATTTGATTAGGCCTATAAGATAGGGGTCATTAGGTCCAGATTACAGATGGAGAACAAGATGCAGAACAAGGATTTGCAGCCAGGGCCCCCTGTCTTCCTCTGGCCTCAGGTGACAAGCTATCCCTTGATGGGCTCCTCCCCCTGGATATCAGGGCATGGTCAGAACAAGAATGCAGGTCTCTCCCATCCAAGCACGTGATTGTCTCAGAGAGGCTGGTGCTCAGAGGAGACTGGGGTAGGGGGATAAGACTGGGGTTGTCCCCCAAGGCAGGTGTGATGATGAGCAGCCTTACAGGGGATTCCAACCTTATTCTGCAATGGTGGAAACTCCATCAGGATAACTTTGCTGTGCTCCAGTGAGAACAGCCCTCATCCTGGGCCTCACACCCCTCCCTCTCTTCCCCTCTCTCTCTCCCTCCCCTAGGCTGTAGGCCACTTTGAAGGAAACTCTGTCTATAGAGGGTGGGAGACTGGTCTCCCCCAGGTGCAGAGGCCAGTCTGGCCTGGGTAACTCCAGGTGGGGGTGGGTACAGGACCTACTTGGCTAGCAAGTAGTTTGTGTGTGTGTGGTGGGGGAGCCGTGGAGGGGGCAGTCGGTAAGTAAAATGACAATGACAACCCTCTGATCACTTGCTCACTGTGATCCCTGGATTTGCTCACCCTGCATCCATTTACATCTTTTCATTCCAGTTTCACTCATCATCATGCCTCTTTATTCCCTTTAAAATTTTTTGAAAAGTTGCTAGTTTGGGAGATTTGTTCAAAGCAAGTCATTCCTGCCCACGGCTACCCCTTGCATCTCTCCACTTCTGTCCTTGGGCCCTAGACGTCACTGCCTCAGCTGTGGAGAAGGGAACTTCCCCCGACATCGTTAGTGCGCCCAAGACAGCCCTGTTTGCACATATCTGTGTGCCTTCCAATTAAAGTGCGTCATTAAACCTCTGGTGAAGTTCATTTCTATTCCTCAATAAGAACTTTCAAATAAATACATTCAGCCATGGAAAGAATCCTTTGAGCCAGCCCATGTCCTAATTTTGGCCTGGGGAATCTGGCCCACAAGTTGCCAGCTGGGAATGTGCAGAGGAGACCTGAGGCCAATTTTGCAGACTTTGTGCAAAGGAGGTGAGCATGCCAGCCTGACCCTGGCCGCTTGGAGGGAGGCAGGGGAGCTCTGGCTCTGCCCAGCCCTGGGGACCTTGGCAGCTGCCAAGGTCTCGGTAGCCCCCGCAGAGGCTGCTCCCCTCCCTCGGGGGCCTGCTGCGGAATGTGGTAACCCCAGGCTGGGCACACGCCATGCTGCTGCCCAGGGCCAACCCTCAGCTGTAGTTTCCATTCTGAGTGACTTGGGAGGAGTGTGCAACACTCTAGGCCCCAGGTCTCCAGGGGAGGCCACATGCCCACTGGGATGCAACCCAATGGAGGCTTGTGCCCAGTCTATCCCCAGTTCTGCGACGTGATAATGTGGGGGTCCTTGCTGCACCTCTCTGAGCCACAGTTGTCTTCAAAGGAAGACATTGCTTGGGTACCTACTATGTTACCCGATTTGCAGTTCTAAATCTTGCCAGCAAACCCACCCCCGTCCCTATTTTACCAATGAGGAGATTGTGGCTCAGAGATTCAGTGACTTGACCAAGACCATATGACTAGTAAGGGAAAGGTCCAGAAACAAAGCCAATACTTTTGACTTAGGGTCCTCTTGAGACCTCAAAGGGAGTCAGTGATGAGCACACCCTAAACCCAAGGTCCTGGCTGCTCCTGAGAAAACAGACAGGGTTCGGAAACTGCAGGAGCTGGCCGCAGACCTCCAGGCCTGGTAGGAGCACCCAGAGCCAGGAACGGGATACCAGACTGTGGGCGAGCAGGCAATAAATGTTCCCAGCTGCAGAGATTCAAGTCACCAGTTCCAAGAGATAGGATCAAACTCTGGCATAACAGAACTAGAATCTGAATCCTGGGTGCTGTCTGAGGGGAGACAAGGCAAGATGGTAGAGTCCTGTACCTATTAGGAAGCATTGCAAATAACAAAAATTTTGACTAACAATGGTTTAATCAAATAAGGGTTTGCTTCTCCCCCTAAGACAAGAAGTTAGAGGTGGGGGGTTGGTGATGTTGATTTAGCTGCTCAAATGGTTCTCTCAAGGATCCAGTTTCTTTCTGTCCTGCCTTTCTGCCACCCTCACTATGCTGGCTTTTTGTCCTCATGCTTGTCCAACCTTATGATTTTAATGTGGCTGCTGCGGCTCCAGGCATTACATCTGCATTCAAAGCACAAAGAAGGAAGGAGACATGGTGCTGATGACATTTTCCCCTTTAATCAGGAAATCAAAGACCTTCAATTCCCAGTCGAAAGACTGAATAAACAGGTTGAAAATGTGAATGAAAGGGAACACTCAAGAGAGAGGAAAGACAGAAGGAATTCAAGGGTGCGGGTATAGCTCAGTGGTAGAGTGTGTGCTTATTAGCATGCATGAGGTCCTGGGTTCAATCCCCAGCACCTCTATTATAAATAAGTAAATAAACCTGATTACCCACCCAACCCCCCAAAAACACAAGAAACGAAAAACAAGAAGGAAGGAATTCTTCCCAGAGCATCCTCATATCTTTTTTGACAGAATGGAGTCATGTGGCCACTTTTAGCTGCAAAAGAAGCCGGGACGCAGATTATTGGGCTTTTACTGTCTATGGTGAGAGAGTAATAAGAGAGAAGGAGACAGAGAATGGCTACTGAGTTTGCCAACACAGAATCTGCTATAGAATTCTTTTTTTCTTTTCAAAAACTATAAGGTGTTTAACATATATAGTTCACAGAAGGTGCTCAATAAATACTGTCTGTCTGTTGCTACAATTGTTTCTATGTGTCATGCCTCTCAATTAGTTTTAGATGGTCATTCGCTATCCTGTCAGGCAGCAAGTACAGCTATTCACACCAAAGGAAAATCCAAACTAGACTCAACCTTAGGACACTGAGTTTCTACTATATGGTAGACACCATGCTAGTATTTTTTAAAAAGTTAATCCTTTCCACAACCCTTTCAGAAAGCTTTATTATCTACATTTTATCGATTAGGACACCAAGGGGCAAACATTTTAAATAACTAGTTCGAGATTGTACAGCTAACTAAGTTTATCTACTACGTAAATCTGTAACTGTGTAATCTGCCATAGAATTCTAGGTCGTGGCCATGTTGTGGCTTTCAAGGGATAAATCACAGAAGTCTGTCCTGGTCAATGCACCTTTACACATGCTGATTCCTGTTATTGGGACCCCCATCCCATTCCTATACCTCTCATATTTGTATAACAAAGCCTTCAGTGTATTCTGGAACTATACTTTTAGAAGCAATTTGGCAACATGTTTCAAGGGCCATAAAAGCGTTCATAAATTTTGACCCAGTAGTTCCACTTCTGAGAATGTATTTGTTCCAAGGAAATAACCCCAAAGGGGAAAAAAGCCCCTACATGCTCAAAGATGTTCATTACAGCTTTAGAAATGAGAAACAACCTAAAAATCCAACAATAGGGAAATGGGTAATTAAGTCATAGTACACTCACTGAATAGCATATTGCATAGACATTAAAAGTGATCATTATAAATTTTGCTTAGTAATGTAAAAAAAAAGGCTGTGATATAATGTTACATCAAAAAACAAAACATATCACCATGCATTATTTAGATTACATAGCTGTCTTGGTCAGGTTGGGCTGCTGTAACAAAATACCATAGATGGGGTGGCTTAAACAACTGAAATTTATTTCTTACAGTTCTGGAGACTAGAAGTCCAAGATGAAAGTGCCAGCAGGGTCCATGCCTTGTAAGGGCCCTCTCTGTGGGTTGCAGACCACTGACTCCTCTCTGTGTTCTCATCTGGTCTTCCCTAGGTGTGTGGACACAGAGTTCTGGTGTCTCTTCTTATAAGGGCACTGATCCCACCATGAGTGCCCTAACTTCATGACCTCATCTAAATCTAATTCTCTTCCAAAGGCCCCCATCCCCAAATACTATCAATCACATTAAGTTAGGGCTTCAACATATGAATTTTGGTGGAACACAACTTAGCATATTTAAATATATGTCTGTGAATAAAGAAGACATGGTATATTTATACAATGGAATACTATTCAGCCATTAAAAACCGACAACATAATGCAAGAAGGATGTTCCTGGAGAATGTCATTCTAAGTGAAGTAAACCAGAAAGAGAAAGAAAAATACCATATGAGATCGCTCATATGTGGAATCTAAAAATAAATAAATAAACAAACAAACAAATAAATAAATAAATGTATGTCTGCCTTATGGACAGAGACTGGAAGGGAATTCACAAAAGTATTGGCTTAGGGTGATGGAATTGTGGGGGTGATTGTTTTCCTCTTTACTATCCAAATTTTTGCAATGGCATTATATACTTTTTAACATAATTTGGGGGGAAGGAGGTTAGGATAAAAATGATCCATCTTTCAAGCCTCAACTCAAATGCCACCTCCTCTAGGAAGCCTTTTTTGGTTTTTCCAACCATATTTTTTCTGAAGTTCATTCTTATTTTACTGGACCATGTGCTGTTCTGGGGCTAGGGCCATGAGCAATTCCCCTTTGTTCCTGATCCATGATAGGCCAGGGGTCACAGGTCAAGAACCCAGAAAAGGAGCCCATTGCAGTGGAGACGGTGAAGGGTGAGGGATGTGTGCAGTCAGGACCCAGTGATGGGATCTAAGCAACAGGTCCAGGGCACCAGCAGATGCAGGGCTTGGAAACTAGGGGCATAAACTGTTGGACACTTAGTAAAAGCTGGACTTTCTAGTTATTTTAAATGTATTATTGTTATTATATAAGTAATACATGCATACATACTCACTGTAAAAAAAAAAACCCCTATAGTTTAGATAAAGTACACCTTGGCTCCTACACAGTCCCCCTCCCCAGGGATTGCCAGTTTGCTAAATACCCTTCGAGAAAGTTCTTCCTCATGCACATGGTTTCAAAGTGAGCATCCGTATTTACATATGTAAAGCCAGATTGTCCCGTGTCTTGCTTCTCTCTGGTAACGAGACCTTCTCACTTCAGGATGCAGAGGGCTACCGCATTTGTCTGGACTTCAGAAAACCATGACTAATGTGGATATTCAGAAATGTATTTAGCCCTTTCTCTATTAATGAGCATTTGGGTTGTTCCTGATTGTTCACGTTTCTGGCCCTGCCACCCTGGCGCCATGGCCGGGCCTCTTTATGCACGTGGAGCATTTCTCCGGGCAGAGATATGGACTTGCTGTGATGGAGAGTCCCTGGCCATCCAAATTTCCACAGGCACTGCCAGATCCTTCTACAAACACTGTGACAAATTCCATTCTTACCAGCAGTGAAGAGGGGTTTGTTGCCCTTGAATTCCTGCGAACAGTAGCTATTATGAATCTTTAAAATTTTACAGATCTGGTGGGTGAAAAATGTTAGCTCAGTGTTGTATGACTTGCATTTCCTTGATGACTACTGAGGCTGAGTTGTTGTCATTGTTACCGGCCATCTGCGGCTCCTCAGAGGTGAACTGTCTGTTCTGAACTATCACTTGGTCTTTCTTTCAAGTGGTTTATCTTTCACTTACTATTTGTAGGAAATCATTATATATCCTGAATATTAATCCTGTTCGTTTGCACATGTTGCTGATACCTTCTTCCTGTCTGTTACTTGTCTTTTAACAATATTTATGGTTTCTTTTGTCATACCGCAGTTTTGGATTTGGATGGAATCAACATTAGTAATCTTTTCCTTTATGGTTTCTGTGTTTTATGTCTTGCTAAAGAAAGCCTTTCCTACCCCCAAGTTATAAACAAATTCTCTTATATTTTCTTTTAATAGTTTCATAGCTTTGTTTTTTTACACTTGGCTCTCTAATCCATCTGGAATGTATTTAGCGGATGGCATGAAGCAGGAATCAACTTCGTGTTTTTTCACAAGGATAGCCAGTTGTCTCTACACAAGTTTTTCAAGAGTTCATCCTTCCTGTACTGCTTCTAAATGCTACTTTGTCGTATACAGAAGTCCTCTTTATACAAGAACCCTTTTAAAACTCCTGTCCTGTGACCTTGATCCACTCGTCTTGTTCTGTGCCAGCACACCACCATCTTAATTAGTATAGCATGGTGGTGTTTTATAATCTGATAGGGCAAGTTCCCCTTCTTTGTACTTCTTCAAACATTTCTTGGCTGTCCCAACACAGTTATTATTCCAGGTTAGTTTTAGAATGGGCTTGTTAAATTTCACACCCGCATACACACACCCTGTTGCAATTCTGATTGGCATTATGTTGAATTTATAGAATTCTGCAGGCAGAAGCCATATCTTCAACAGCATCAAGTGTTCTCACCCAAGGGCTCTGTGTTTACTTAGGGCTTCTCTTCTGTCTCAGGCCTGACTCTGAAGCCAACTCTACCCCTTACTAGCTCTGGGATCTAGGGTGGGGCTCAGCCTCTCTGAGCCCTGGCTCCTTCGTTATCTCTGATGTAGGAATAGCACATCCTTTCCCTGACTGACGGAGGGTTAAACCAGAGCAAGTGTGTGAAAGCACCAGATGCCGAGCTCCCAGAGGGCAGGCCTCTGCCTCATGTAACCCCACAATCAGGACAGTCAGCTGTCTGAACAGCCCCAGGGAAAGGGAAGCACGCACTGCTTTCATTCAGGCAGATTCAGAGGGTGAAGGGTGGGAATGGGCCCATCACTGTGTGAAGTACTTTACACATGTTACCTCATTTGTCCTCAAAACAAGCCTGCGAGGTAGTCCTATCATCCCCTTTTTACAGCTGAGAAAAATGAGACTGTGACATGTCTGCACTCGGATGCAAGGCTCTAATAAACGACAGCCTATGCCCTCTGTCAGGCCTAGTTGGGAAGCCAGTGGAGGCCTCTCCTGCTTATAAAGCTGGAGCTTCTAGATGGTCTGCTGCTCTCCTGTCTTAAGTCTAATGAACCTAGGGCAGATTAGCCCCAAGATATCACATGAGCATTCGGCACTTAGCACAGGGTCTTGCGCATATCAGGAGCTTGTTGAATTAGATCAGGACCAAGGCCAAATGCCATAAGGTGAATGCTACAGATAGTACAGTAATTGCTAGACAAGCTCAGAGGAAGAAAAGGGCCCAGTGGACTAGGGAAATCAAAGAAAGCTTCCAGGTGGCCGTGAGATGGGAACTTGGCCCTGAAAGATGGAGAGGATTCAGACAAACATAAGAGACAGAGCATTCTAGAATCTGAGTTAGTATGGCCAAACAGGTGAGCCAGCTGGCTGGACAGGCAGTGAGTGTGAACAGAGAAAGGCATTTCTTGATGACTGAAGGCTTGGCTGGGCGCGGAGTCTCCAGGCTGCAGCAAGGCTGGAAGGCCAGAAGGTCATGGACCTGGTGTCTTCTAGGCCCATCTAGCTTAGCTTCCCACAGTGTCCTAAGGTTAAGCTTCACTTTCCATGAGCAGCTCTCACAGCCAGTTGCCATGGCACCAAAACACACAGACCAGCTGTGGGAAGTTGGCTGGGAGGGGCAGGAAGGGGCTGCTTTCCTCATGCTCTTTGCCCGCCCCACACTGCAGCCTGACCGTGTCTCTTCACTCTGACTTTGTCTCCCCACTGCATGCATCAGTGCGCATATGTGTGAGCATCTATGTTGTGATGCTCTATATGTGAGCGCATATGTGTTGGCCCTTAGATGAGTGCCTCAGCCTCTCTGAACTCAGGAGATAAGTTTCCAGGTATGTGGGCATATATCTGGAGGGAACTCTAAATTGAAAAGATACATGCACCCCAATGTTCATAGCAGCACTATATATAATAGCCAAGACATGGAAGCAACCTAAATGTCCATCAACAGATGACTGGACAAAGAAGCTCTGGTATATTTATACACTGGAATACTACTCAGCCATAAAAAAGAATAAAATAATGCCATTTGCAGCAACATGGATGGACCTTGAGATCATCATTTTATGTGAAGCAAGTCAGAAAGAGAAGGAAAAATGCCATATGATATCACTCATATGTGTAATCTAAAAAAAAAAAGAAAAGAAAAAAGAGGACAGTAAAGAACTCATCCACAAAACAGAAACAGACTTGCAGACGTAGTGAACAGTCTTATGGTTACCAGGGGAAAGGGGATGGGAAGGGATAAATTTGGGTGTTTGAGATTTGTAAATGTTAACCACTATGTAAAAAAATAAATAAAAACAATTTTTTTCTGTATAGCACAGGGAACTATATTCAATATCTTGTGATAACCTTTAATGAAAAAGAATATTAAAACAAATACATATATATATATATATATATATATATATATATATATATATATATATATATATGACTGGGACATTATGATGTACACCAGAAATTGACACATTATAACTGACTATACTTCAATTTAAAAAAAAGTTTCCAGGTATGCACATACTCTTCTGGTTACGGGGTGGTCCGTCTTGCTCCCACTGGAGACAGAAACAGCCTCATGGTGTGGCCACTGTTAACCCCTTCATGCACTCCAAAAGGAAAAGAGAAGAGGAACAACCCAGTATGTGCCAGGTTCTCTGTTGACAGGATGCCAGGTTGACTTTGGGGCTTTAAAAAACCAAAGCACATTAGTTCAGGTCCTCTGAGAAGCCAGACCCCAAGAAGGGATTAGACATGCAAGAGATTTATTTGCTGAAACATCTGTGAAAGAAAAAGGGAAGTGATCCAGAGGAGCACAGAACCATCAGTCTGTAATGTGGGTCTGACCCCTGTGAAGGGGAGATGGAGGGAAGGTGGGTAGGATGGGTAGAGTCTCAGTGTAGTTCTAAGGAGGTTTCAGGAAATTTGTGAGCTAAAGTCATTCTCAGAGGAGGCCAGCATCTCTCAGGAATTGGCTTGTCTTAGGACCTCTGCCCTGCTCACTATTCTGCAGAAGGAGCAGCCCACAAGAAGTGTGGTCCCAGACCAGTGCACAACAGCAGTGACAACCCTTGGCCAATTACACTCCCTGCAGTAGGAGATCTGAGCAGTGCATTTTCATGGCTGCCACCCAAGGCACCTATTTGATAGCCCAAGAAAGGCTAGATATTAAGGTAAAGACAAGTTTGGGCAGACCTTACTGTGAGGCACCTCTGCTTACTACCTGTGTGATCTCAGTTAGGATTTTCACTAACATGACTTTCAATTTTCATACAAAATGGGGTAACAGAACCTTTCCATGGGTTGCTAAGAAGATAATTTAGCACATGAAAACCCCTCCTCCACCTCCAATGGGTAAAAACTAGATGGAGCTGATTGGTTGAGAGCTTGGGTCAAAGGCCCAAAGGAGGAAGCTCTTTCCTTTTTCCAAGGGGAAAGTCGAGAGATTAGAAGACTGAGAAACATGGATAAAAAGAAAGCGCCCTGAGGCCTACTCAAGGTAGACGTAGATGTGGTATGGTTACTTGAAAGGAAAAGTACAGATTGTTTTGCACCACCTGGATTTAAGTGCTTCCTAATCTCATAAAAATGTATAGGTCCTACAATTATCTCAAAAAATGTTGTGAATAAAAATTTATTCACAAAATTTATCAGTTAAGAATGTCTTCAGCTTCAAATATCAGAAAACTTAACTAATGGTGTGGGGGAGAGTATAGGTCTGTGGTAAGGCATGTGCCTAGCACACACGAGGTCCTACATTCAATCCCCAGCACCTCCATTATAAACAAACAAGCAAACAAATAAACAAACCTAATTACTTCCCCCCACCAAAAAAAATTAAAGAAACAAAGAAGAAGAAATCTCAACTAATTGTGACTTAAGCCGTAAAATCACTTAATTACCTCATATAATAAGAAGCTTGAAGGTAGGTGGAATCTGGGGTCAGTTTAGTTTCTCAATAACACCTGGTTGCTGGATCCATGTCTCCATATGTCTCTTGGCCTTTGCCTCATGATCACAAGATGGATGCCATAGCTCCAAACATCACACCCTCATACAATAGAATCCCAAACTAGAGGAAAGAGAAAGGTATAAAAGGGGGTATGTACCTCTCATTTTTCCTTTTCAGGGAGAAAAACCTTTCCCAGAGGCCCCCTGAAGACTTGTCCCCTTTGTCTCATTGACCAGAACCAGACCACTCCTCAACCAACCACTGGCAAATTTATTGCTAGGCACATGGCTGCTTGAGCAAGATCAAGGTCTGTTAGCAAAGAAGACTGCAGGAATGTTTCTTGAGAAGGCAACAAGAGCATCTTCCACAGGAAGAATTTCTGAAAACAGGATGAATTTTTCCATCCTCTGAGCATAGCTAAGGGGTTGCACAAGTACATAAACCCATACAGTGTAGTGGGAACAACAATAAATAATGTATAAGACACAGGAGTCAGACTAAGAAAGAAATCCATTCAATCCATGAAGGGTGGAGGTTCAGAATAGTGGACATAGTCCATTATAGTGGAGCTGACAGACTCTTTGTCCTGAGGGTGGGAACAGGTCAGAGAAACTCACAGAATCTATGTCTGAACAGAGTGCTGCCAGATGAGTAGGAGTTCACTAGGCAAACTGTTTGGGAGATGAGCAGACTCACCCATGAAAAGCTATGTTTGTGCAGGTGAACAAATGGTTCAGTATTCTGAAAGGCTGAAGTTAGATGAGGCCATGCAGGGGCCAGGAATTGGATAATGAGGAGCTATTGAAAAGTTTTAAGCAGGAGATTGGCTTAAATAAATATTCACTTTTAAATGATTATAACATGACAACATGAAGGAATCTCAAAAACACTTTGCCAAGCAAAAGAGTACAAACTATATGATTTCATTTATGTGGAGTTCTACAGAATAGGCAAAACTAATCTATGATGAAGATGCCAGAGCAGTAATTGCCCATGGGAATGGGGATTGACTAAAAAGGATCATGAGGAACATTAAGGGATGATGGAAATATTCTAAATCTTCACTGCAGTGGTGGTTACATGGATGCAATATAGTTATTAAAATTTATCAAATTGTATACTTAAAATATGTGCTTCTTTGTATGCAAATTATACCTCAAATTTTTTTTAAGTATTGGTAAAAAGTATCCTGGTGAGTGGATTGTAGAAGAATCCAGAGGTGAGGAACCAGGGAGAATACTGCAGGCATAATCCCAGAAGAAGATCCCTCAGCCTGAATTGAGGCAGGATGTGGCAGCAGAGGAGGGACTGGGCTGGAGAAGGAAAAAGGCTATTTGAGGCACTGGATTTGGGAGGGAAGTGGGAGGGAAAGAGGACTCAAGTTGACTTCTGGCTTCCAGCTGGGATGAATGGCATCAGAAACTGAGACAGAGACTCTAAGGGGAGGAGGTACAGGTTGAGAGGAAGAAGAAATGAGCTCAGACATGGACACATTGAGTTTGTGATGGAGATGTTCTTTGGGATATTGAACATGTGGATCCAGACCTCAGGAAAGAGAAACGGGCTGGAGAGACGCTGGCTCTCAAATGTACGGAGCTAGATGGGTCATCCAAGGGGAAAAAACTGAGTGGGAAGAGGTGGGCAGAGGTAGGAGGGGAGAGAGCCTTGGGGAGTACCAACAGCTCAGTACTGGTCAGAAAAAAAGATTCCGGCTCAGGAAACTACAAAGGAAAGGTAAAACATAAGAGAAGCGCTGGGGTGGAGGGTGTCGTCCCAGAGGCTAGAGGAAGGAAGGAGGTCAAGAAGGGGAGAGTGGTCGGTTGTGTTAAATGCTTCCAAGATGTCAGAAAGGCTGAGAGAGATTGTGGATAGATCCGAGACCCACACATACGGGTAAAGAGGCTGCATTCAAACTCACATCTCCTAAGTCTAGAACCAGTGCTTTCTACCCTGTGATTCAGTGGGCTGCAAAGGAACATGAAAAACGCAGGAGACTCTGCAAAGGCCCTTCCTCATTTTTTCATCAAGCTTCCAAGTTTAAATAAATTATAGTTCAACTGAACAGTGAAGTACGACATAGCTGTTTAAAATAATGAGGCAGACTGATCTGCACTTCTGAAAGACGCCCACTTTGCTGACTGCATGTCTTGTTAAAGGAAATTACACCTCTGGGAGGATATTTGCCAAAATGTCAACAAGGTTAATGCTGAACAGTGGGATTATGTGTGATTTTTTAAACTATTTTTAAACTTTTGCTAATCTGTATTTTCTAGTTTTTCTAGACATAGAAAATTTAATCTAGAGTATAGAGGAGGCGTATATGGATCCTGGGGGAGCAGAGAAGATCCCTGCCTTGGGGGAGTTCAAGAATGGGTCATGGAGTTCCTCCTGTCACAGTCATTAAGAAAGAAAAGGGATGAGGGCCCGAGCCTCCTCCCTGGGGTGAAGGGACACTGGTTGGCCAGGTTGGATGAAGAAAGTCTTCACTGAGAAGCCACATTTGGAGATGACAGTAGATGACCGGGAGCACTGGGACCTTCTGTGGAGGCCGTGAAAGAGGCCTTGGCAGGATCATCTTGACATGATTCATCCAGACCAGTGGAGGGTTGGGAAGACCATGGGCCTTCCTGGAGTCTGGGGGCTCAGCTTGCCCCACTTAGCCCTCTCTGCCCCTGCATATCCTGTTCTGCCTGGAATGCCTTTCCACATCCCTCTTTCTGGCAAACACCTACCTAACTTTAAAGACTCTGCTCAAGTGCAGCTTCCTTGGAGAAGCCTCCTTCAGGACAGAGCACATCACTCATTCACCACTGTCTTCATGCCTTGCAATTGCCACCTTTTATGTAATTAACCTGATTTCAGGTCTGCTACCTTACTAGCTGGTGTTCTCCCCCAGGCTATTATCAACCTGACTTTCAGGAAGACTCATCGATCCTGTGAGCCCACAGCTGCCAGGGCCCCAAACAAAATCAGAGGTTCTAGAGGAAATGAGGGACTCCAAGAATGAGCAAATGGGCCTGGGCATGGAGAGAGCCTGCCACAGTAACCAAACACTCCTGGTGAGTGTCCCCATCCACACTCTAGTGTGGGCACCAGTGACCAGACCCAGGTGCTACTTCCCTCCCAGGTGGGAGGGACGAATATATGTCCTGGGGAGCAGAGGCTGACTAGGTGTGACAGTCACACACTAAAGTCACTGGAGAAGGAAGGGAGTCTTGAGAAAGGAGACCACCACCTGAGAGAAAGGAAGAAAAGCAGAAACTGAAACAAGATTCAGAAACTGGCCTTTTCTAAAAGCTTTCAGCACCAAGCTTTGGGAACCAAGTTGAAAAGCACAAACGCTGAGTTTAAGAACCAAAGGCACTCTCCAAGGAGAATAGGACATTTCCACATAAGGCAACAAAATTAGGAGAAGAGAATGAAACTCTCCTGATGCATAAAACAGCTAAAAGGGACCCAGAGATTACTTGTTAGTTATGCAGAAAGCTTCTCCAAGAACTAAAATGATAATGGCTGTGCCAAAGAGAGTGGAAAGCAGGCCAGGTTACGAAGGAGGAGTACATACAGAAAATCACAAAAGGCTGTGGAGATAAAATCAGAAGAGTCGTTCAGAAAAAGAAATGAGATATAACTTGTACAAGGCAGCAAAAGAATGAGAAAAACATTTTCTGACTCTAACAGGCCAACAAAGGGGGATAAGGAGACTGCTGGCTCGTTTTGAGTTGGGGAGAGAGAGCCTATAAGCAATGACACTAAAAAGCAGAGGCTTTTAGTTTTTCTTAGCCTAAAAAGGTCAGCTGTGATCTGAACGCTGAAAGAGGCACCGCATGGGATCATGAGAAGGCAGGAAGCCAAGCGGGAACGAGGGAGGAACTTGTGTATTCACATCCACGGTCCTGATGACTTACATGCTTAGGTACTTAAGGAATTGGCCCAAGGTGGAATCAGATCACTAGCTCTCACGCTGGGGGGATTTATGGGGAACTGGTGAGGGACCTGGAGACAGGAGGGAGACCCAGGCAGCATGTCCCTGCCTCTCTTTAAACCTGGGGGAAAGCAGATGCCTCTGGAAGTGTTGGGCCCATCAACCGAGCTGCTATAATAGAAAACTACTGGGACACGTCGTCAAAAAATCAATCTGCAAACACTAGGTCATAGGGAATTAGGTAATAACTAGTACTGCTTTCCAAAGAACACATTCTGTCAGAGTAATCCAATTTCCTTCCAGGACAAAATGATGGGCCTGGTAAATCAGGAACGGCAAGAGACACATAATCTTCCTTAACTTAAAGAGCACAGCATTTAATTTCATCTTCCATGAGAAGTCTCAGAAGAAAAACTAGGGAAATGGGGTCTATGGTTGGCCTTTCTCAGGTTGGGCAAATAAAGAGGTTGAAAGATTAACCCAAAGAGCAGTTCTTTACATTCTATGTAGTGTGGATGGTTTCAAATGGGCAGAGGTAGGGGTGGGCAGCATAATGTGTTGGTGGAAGCAGGTAACAGAAGTGTTAGGGGAGATGAGAGGGGTAGTGGTAGTGGTGGTGGAGGTGGTGATGGCAGTGGTGGAAATGGTGATGGTGGTGGTACTAGTGATAAAAGTAGTGATCCTGTGAAGGTGATGATGGTAATGGTAGAGGAGTTGGAGTTGATGATGGCAGTGGAGATGGAAGTGATGGCTGTGGTAGATGTGGTGGCTATGAATGTAGGGATGGTGGTGGAGGTGGCGGTCATGTTGAGATGGTGATGGAAATGTTAATAGTGGTAGAGGTGGAGTTGGTGGTTATAGTGGAGATGATGGTGATGTGTGATGGAGATGTTGATAGTGATGGGTGTGACGGTGGTTGTGGTTATGGTGATAAAGATAGAGGTGGTGGCTGTGGTGGAGATGGAGACAGTGATAATGATAGAGATGGTACTGGTGATAAAGGTAGTGATACTAGTGGAGGTGGTGATGGTAGAGGTGACAACAGTGGTGGAGATGGAGGTCATGATCAAGGTGGAGATGATGGGGATGAGTGACAGAGATGTTGAAAATGGTGGGTGTGGAGGTGGTGGTGGTTATAGTGGTAGAGACAGAGGTGGTGGTTGTGTTGGAGATGGAGGTGGTGACAGTGGTAGAAATGGAGACAGCGGTAATGGTGGAGGTAGAGGTGGTGGTTGTGATAGAGGTGTTGGTACCAGTGATGGTGAAAACATAAACAGTGATAGTGGTAGAAATGGAAACAGTGACAGATGTGGTGGTCATGGCGGTCATAGACTTAGACATGGTAAATCTAGGTTTCACAGCCATCCTTTTGGACATCTATGATGGACACCCACACTAGCTTCTTCTTTCCACATCTTTGCTGAGAGAAGTGGGCAAAAGACTTTAAGCCATTTGGGGCCATTTCTGACCACCTCACCACTATCCTGTTAGTTCTGGGGCAATGAACCCCTTCTCTGCCCAGATGGGCTGGGTGGCTGTGAACCCCAAGAGACCTGTGTGAGGGGAGGATATCTCCCAGTCCAAAGGGGTGGGCACAGTCTGAGAGTCTCCCCAGCCAAGGAGAGGGAAAGGCTCCCAGAGCCAAGTGGAGACAGGCTGTCCGTGCTCAAGAGCCCCTGTTAGCTGAAGGCTATTCCCAGCTTGGGCAGTTATGCAGGCTGGGACCTGGGGAGGCCTTTTGCGGGTTCTGGTTTTTACACCTCTCTCCAGCCTGGGTTCTGTTACTGCAGCCCAAGGACGAGGGGAAGGGAAGGGTGGGCTAAAAGCTTCCCTCCACCTTGGTTTCCGCCAGGATGTGGCTGTTTTGTTGAGCGGACATAAAACTAAAACGCCCCCCAGGTGTGTGGGCCAGTGCGTCTCAGGAGCTCTAAGGGTGGGAGAGAGGTGGGTTGCTGGAGCCCGCAGTAGGCTTTGTGAAGTGTGTGGTAGAAGAGGGGGTTGCCAGCTTGGGCTGAAAACATTCCTGAGGCTGGGAACTCAGCTCCAAGTTGAAGAATTCTTGCCCACTTCCTTGCTGTCTGCACAGTCCCAACTGGCTGTGTGACTAGGGGAGAGGTTCTTAAACCAATTTGGGCCTCATGATGTTCCCTTGCATCCTAGAGAGTTGGATGAGACAGTCTCTGAGGTCCTCCAGCTATAGGTCCAGTCTCGTCAAAGTACTTCACACCCCAGCTCTGTCCATAAGCCCACCACACCCAGCCCGCTTCAACCATCCTCTCTGCCTATAGGACCAGCACCCTCACCTGCAATGGCCTTGGTTCAAGGCCCAGTCTCAAAGCTAGTTCAGCTACAAAGCCCACCTGTGCTTGGCAGGCAGAAGTGACTTCTTCCTCCACTAGACTCCCATAGCCTTTGTCTACCCTCTGGATTGAACTGTCAGACAGGAAGGTGCCAGATTCGGTGCCCTCATCACTTTGTTTGGACCTCATAGGCTTGAATCTCATTCACATCTTATCCCTCTTGGCAATCGACATAGGCCTGGCAGAGGTGAAGTGAAGTGGGAGTGAATTTTACACCTGGAGAAACTGAGGCCCCAAGTAGTCAAGAGGCTAAGACTAGAGCCCAGATCTCTGGGCCCCCTATGCATTGGCGCATGGTGCCAGGGCCGGAAAGACCTATTGTAACAGACTTTGCACCTGTGTCATCCTTACTTAAAGTCTCCCAGACTTGTGCATGAATGGACCTTTTGAAAGAAAAGCAATTCTCATAGCTCCTATCTGTGAGCTCTGAGCAGTTCACAGACCCGATTTGTCCAATACCAACTTAAGGAACTGAAGTCTTAGTACATGAAAATGTTTAACTGCAGAGACTTCTGTCTTTATAACTATTTTAATACTATTGAAATTTGAATCCAAATTTTTAAAGTATTCAGAGAATCCAGGAACTCTGAGAATAGGTACCATCCTAGCTCACAAACGAATTCACAGGAAGGCGTGAATGACTGATATCTGCTTTTCACTGTGTTGCTAGGTCCCAGGGTAATTTGCATTTTTAAATGTACCCTTGGAAAGGACCATGCATAACTTACCAGGACGCATTATAAGATGAAATGGCAGTCCTTGGGTCACCCAGGATGGTGAGAGACTCTTGAAACCCTTCAAAAGAAGCTCTGTCCAGGACATCAGCTCATGCTGTGCTTAAGATGGGAGTAGACTGCACACACTCGGAAGGCCAGGGCAGGAGGCGTGTAAGGGAGGGTTGGAGCGGGGAGGTTCCAGGTCTCTGTTCCAGAAAAAGGATGGCTTCCCCAGATTTCCCTTCCAAATTGTCAGTCTGCTTCCTAGTCAGCCCTGCTGATGAGGCTGGGCTCTCCCCAGCGATGCAGACAGGCTCCCCACCCTCCCCCACCCCCCCCCACCCCAGATACACATAGATTCTTCCTCTAGGCTGCTCTCACACACTCTCTTCTCTGCAGAGATGAGGTAAAGCATTCAATTCCCATAGAAGACCAGGAACCCAGGAGATGTGCCTGGTTCTGAGACTTGCTGTGTAACGTTGGGCATGTACCTTCTCTGTACCTTCCTTTCTTCGTCTATAACAAGAAATTTGGATTAGACGGTTTCAGAGGTCACTTCCAGCCCTGACCACTCTGCTATGCTAGTTCTCCTCTCCTTATGTCACGAAAGGTCCTGTGGTGATGTGGAAGTGGCAGGGGCTTCTGATTCATACAAATGTGCGTGCAAATTCTACTCAAGTTCTTTTTAGCTGGGTCATCTTAGCCAAGGTACCCAGCTTCTCTGAACTTCACTTTTCTCAAATTTAAATTAAGGATAATATCTTCTATTACATAGACTTGTTGAAAGCATTAGAGACAAAAAACATAGTGTGCCTAGTTTGCTCTCAGTTAATGGTAGTTATTAGTATATTGGCTAAGGAAAGCTGTGAAAAGCCATGTGTGTAGTGGCTGAAAGCAGGGACCTGGAAGTCCCACAGCCTGAGTCTGAATTCTAGTTTGGCCACGTTCTATCGTTGTCACCTTGCATAAGCAACTTAACTCTATACTTCCATGTCCTCATCTCTAAAATGGGAATAATCATTATACTTATCTCATAGAATTGCTGCAAGGGCAAAATTATTCAATAAATCAAACACTTGAGGCAATGTCATATAATAAGTACTCAAAAATATCAACTGTGTCATGAATAGCCTAGGGGGAGGTTTGTGGGTGGGTGTGTGGGTGGGGGTGCTCTCACCACTCTCCATCTTCTCCCACCTCCACTTTTGCTAAGCTGAATCTGAAGTCCTATTCTCTTTCCATCATTCACCTCCACAGCCTATGGACCGACCAGTTTTCATCTAGCACTCAGAGCCTGGTGACCCTCATCTTCCCTGGCTCTTTCAGGAAGCCCAACTCATTCCTATGCCCTCCCTGAAACTGCCCTCCTCTGCCCCCTGCAGCCTGTTAGCTTGTTCCTGTAACCTCTGCGGAGCTAGACTGCACACAGCCTGTATGTGCCAAGGTAGTCAGCCCTTACGCAGAGCTCCGGGGCTGTCTGATCCACTACAAGCATCGCAATGTGCTCAGAGAAAGGAATTATGCTGCCTCTCTTATCTAGGTCCTGATAGCATTCACTGACCTTAAGTTCTTCCTCAGAGCTGCCCTAAATTTCTGCTTCTCATTCTTGAACTCTTTTTCAAGTCTTTACAAAACAAAAGTGAAAAACTCTTTTTTGGCCATATAGATTGGACAATATGTATACATTGTATGATACCCAGAGGCCAGGCTGTGAAAGAATGGGTACACTCATACTTTGATGGAGGGAACAGCCTCTTTGGAGGAAGGTTTAGGACTATCCATAAGAACTGAAAATAAGCATATCCTTGACCCACTGATGCCACTTCTAGGACTCTATCATGTAGAAGTATCTCTATCTGCTCAAAGATATTCTCACAAAGATGGATGTGCACTAAAGCACTATGACTGCAAAACTTGTAGGGGAAAAAGTAAATAATAAACAGAATAACTATACAAAGGAGGACAACACAACTTTAAAAGGTGCGTGCGTGTGTGTGTATACACACACATATATGGAAATATTAAGCTAAAAATGGTACGTTGCAGAAAAATATATATGTTTTGATCTCATTTAGGGAAAAAAAGCCCACTCTTTCCCCCCACATCTCAGCTGGGTGGAGGCTTCCTGCAAGTTCAGGCTGGCTCAGGACAGCCTGCACTGGGTCGAAAGCCCAGCCCCTTCCTTCCAGCCAAGTGGGTCAGCACCCCAGGATGGCCACACCTGGGGAAGGAAGGACTATTGAGGCCCCAGGGTCAGGACTCCTGCCCAGTGGAACAAAATGGTAGCAGCCTCCATTCTGAGGCAGACAGACGTGGGTTCGAATCAGGACTTCATCTCTTACCAGCTGAGTGACCTTGGACAAAGTTCCTCAGCACTCTGAGCCTCCATTTCCCCAACGATAAAATGGGATTAATAATACCTACTGGTGGGGAATTAAAAGAGACAATGTATGGAAGGGTACAAGACAATCTCATAAATGCCAGCCTCTCACAGCCCCTCAAAGATTTCTTTTACTTTGCTTTCAAATTCCTGTAATTCAACCTCAACAGCACTCCTACTCATCAGCCCTTCCATCCTCCCCACCCTAACCCTGATTTGGTCTCCATGGTGGTTTCTTCCCAGGTCCATTTTCACTCCTCACTAGGTGACCACACTGAGATCTCCTCCACCACTGAGTTGAGTAAGACTCATGAAGAGAGTTCTCTCTGGGTAAAAACATCCTCTCCTCCTCGCCCCACCCACCTCCCCAGTGTATTTCCTTTTCCTTCCCACCTGTGCTCTAGCTCCCACCCTTAGGCCTTCTTCAGGACATAATCCCATCAGTCATCTCCCCTTTCTCTCCTTGGCATCTTCAACCCATCCCTGCCCTCCACCCCCAACCTTATAATAAAGCTCAGATGGGTCCCATGGTAAAACACCCACTTTTCCAACCTGCTGCCCACCCCATCTCCCATCTTCTTTTACCACCAAACCACCTCCTTCCTACCTTCCTGCCACAAATCCGGGGACCTTTGTTTGGCCTCCTTCCTTGGGGCCCTCACTTTGACTTCTGGGCAACAGTGGAGACAGCCACAGGCCCTTGGAATCGCGCTCCTGGTTTTTGCGACTTGGATGCTCTGCAACGCCCAGGATTCTGCCCTGTGACACACCCCTCACACCTCCCGCAACCTGGCCCCTCTCTATCTTCTGAGATCAACCTGAGGGTCAGACTTCCATCTTGTTGCTGACAGAGTGACCGAGCTTGGGAAGAAAACTTGACCCGTGTTCTCTCTTCTTCAGAGTAGAACACTTAAGCCCAATAACATCCTCAAGTAACTTCCCCAAGGCCACACAGCGCGTGAGCAGAGGCCTGCAGTTTTTTTTTTATCACGGAATCAAGTGCTTCCGGAACTTTCCCGCTCTCCGGAACTTCTTCCTTTCTACTCTGCACACTTTCTCCGCCCTAGAAAAGCCCAGCCAGGTGCATGTTAGCATAAAGACGTCCGTAATTAGTCTCCATTTCCGCCGGGTGGGTCATACACCGCTGCCTGGGTCCCAGCCTCTGGCCCGCGCACCCCCACCCCCTTATTCCTCGGCCGCGGGCATCCCGGGCACCTGCCCCGAGACGGGGCAGGAAGCGTACGCTGAGGCCGGGCCCCTGCCCCACCCTGGCCAGCCCTCCAGGGACCCCAGCTACGGTCCTTTTTCCTTCGCCGCCCGGCGCACGCAGCGCGCGCCTCCCGAGCGTGGGAGGGTTTGATTGACCTTGGCAAGAGGCAGCCAAGCTCTCAAAGGCCTCGGCCCCTTGCGGCCGCTCGGCGCCGGGGCTCCAGTTTCTGCCCCCACCATCTCTGTTTCTCGCCTGGCCGGGGCCCGGGGGAGGGGAGCTGGCAGGAGCCCACTTCGACCCTCGGCAGCAGCGCTCCGCTGCCGGAGACGAGATCTGATGAGAATGTCTTCCTGCAAATTAAGCCTTCTCGGGACTCTTCATCCGGTGCCGGCGGCGAGCCCGGCGCTCGGGGAGCCAGTCCTGGGGGCAGCGCGGGCGCAGCAGCGGCAGAGAGGGCTCAGCACCCCTCCCTGTGTCCCCATCCTTCCCGCCTGCACCCATGGTTGGCCGGCTCAGGGTCGGAGGGTAGAGCCCAACTACCAAGGCCTCCCAGAGAGAGTGCCAGGCGTGCCCCTCTGCCCGACTCGGGCTGCCCAAAGTGGCCACGCACCTCTCCCCCTTCTACCGCTTACCGGTGGGGAGACACCCTCCTGGGCCCTAGAGGAGAGACCCCTGGGGTCCAATCCAGTTTCTGCCTCGAGACAGCAGGGTACTTGGACGATTGCTTCTCTGTTTCTCCAGGTGTTAAAAGGGGGTGACAGTACTTTTTGGTTGGCTCTCGTGGGCATTCATGATCCTATATGCCAAGAACCCGCCACAGGTTCCCAAGACACAGTAAGCCAAAGGTCCTACCCAGCATGACCCTAGAGCTTCAGGAACTCTGGGAACTCCTCCCACCCTATTGTTTGCAAACGTTTCCACCTTCGTTTTTCTGTGAAAACGATCTGAAGCTTTCACTCTTAGAGAAGTCTGCAAGGGGTACAAGAGTTTCAAGTATATTTGGAAGAGCAAGAGGTAGAATTCTGGAACATGACGCTATCCTGGAAAAATCATAGACTCCAGGAAAATAAAAAGCAAATGTCCTAACGCAAGAACTTGGCCTAACACTGACTGCAGTCATGTAGGCTATGAATTTCGTTATTGTTTAATAACTATTATTATCCCCATTTCACAGACAAGGGAACTGTAGCTCAAGTGATTCCTCAAGGATTGCAGAATTGTTTAAACAGCAAGGTTCCAAGTTGAACCCAGCTTCTCCAATTCCAAATCCTGTTCTCTTCTTTGCTACCCCACACTGCCTTTGGACAATACTATTTTGTACTGTTTATAGTTTCTGCATTTATCACTTTTTTTCTTAGTATTGGTGATTTTTTTTTAAAGATTCCAGCCTGTTTTAACTGCACTGAAGGAAGACAAAGAGGAAAGTGTGTGTTTGCACTTGCTTCCAGATTCAAAATACCAAGCAGGGTGTTGGGGTGGGGTGGCAGTGATCAAGTGGCAGGGATGGTGAGATTCCAGGAGCTGGAGCAGCAGGGCATCTTGGGAAGCCCCTAAGGAGCCCCTCTGGTTCTAACCATGAAGAGTTGGTGCCTGAAAAACAGTCCTCCCACGCTTCCCACACTAGGGATCCAGGTAGGGCTGTAAGTGCCCGGCCCCAGGCCTGCCCAGCTCTGTGGTAAGAAGGATGCTTGGCCCAGAGGTGGCCCAGCACTAGGCTGCTTGCCTCGGGGGTAGCTTCCTGGCAGCCAGGGCAGTACACACCTCTGGGAGGACAGACAGAGAGGCATTCAGAGATTGAGACAGGAGAGAAAAGGTGGGGAGGAAGCACTAGAATAAGAAGGAGAGACAGGAACCCAGAGGGGAACAAGGGAGCTATTCAGAGTTAGAGAGGGGAGGCCGCTGGGGAGAGAAAGAAAAGACAGAGGAAAAGGGGAGAAAAAAGAAACAATCAGGCAAGGGGCGGGGGGGGGAGCGGGAGGAGGGGAGACAGAGCAGAGAGGGAGAGAGTGGAGAAGAGGCAAAGCAGAGTAGCGAGAAAGGGAGAGGCACGAAGGAAAGAGAAGAGGAGAGGAGAAGAAAGGAAGGAGAGAAGGAGGGTAGAGGAGGAAAAGGGGGAGAGCGAGAGGACCAGGGGAGGAGGGAAGAGGCAGTGACAAGAACTGGGAGAGGGAGGGG